ATTGTATATAATTATGAAACTTTCTAATTTCACCTAACGTAACTAACTACTAAGAAAATTCAAAAACTCAAGCAAAGAATTATTGATTTCCATTAATTTTATTTATATTTTTGGTACTTTTTTTTTCTTTTCTTTGTACATACTTTTGCCTAATTTAAGCTTAACAAAATGCCTGTGTTAATTGTACTTACAAATTTTGATGATATATGYTTAGAACTTTAACAGCTTTGAAGCACAAAACACATAACCTTTTAGAATTGAGAAGAARGCTTTATTCATAACTCTCAGAAGTGGTTGAAATGTTTATAGAACACACACTTAGAGCTTTCGGGAGCAATTAATTATAAGCAAAGTCAACAAACATACTCTACAAAAAAGCTGCTTATAAAGTACAAGCTTCTAAGCACAGAGGAAAGCTTCTTAGCACAAAAAAAATATTCTACGGAAACGAGAAATGAATTAAAAATCAACCAAAAATCGAAATTTTAAGAAAAAGTTAGTATGTAAAATTAAGCATAAATACAATTTTTTTTAATAATTTGTAGGGTTTGAAATTTTTAAAATACTTCAGTGGCTGTAATGACCACTAAATTAATTGGCTATCCCGGTTGAACTTTGGAAAGCTCACTCAACTTTCTTAAAGATTTCTCTSAAAACAGCGTTTTCTAAAATTTCTGTACTTGTAAATGAAAAACAGAATTTAAAAGYTTTTCATAACTTTTGAAAATTTCTTTTATGTAAAGCTTTTCTTAACAAATCACAAGAGAAATAATTACAATGAAAAATAAATATGCAGAGTTATTTCTAAATAGCAAAATCTGAAACASTGACTGTATTTTCACAAAGAAAAACATAGTTTAGGGTTACGCCAAGATTCCAGAATCTGGAAAACTGACTTAGTATTCACAAAAACTTAAAATTTTTTAAAGCTTTTTCGAAAGCTTCTCCTGCAAAAAAAAACTTTTCTAATTTCTTCTCTAGTAAAATACAAAATCAGTTTTGAAAACTTATTTTATACAAAGCTGTTATTGAAAAAGCTTAATAGAAATAACTGCAATAAAACTGAAGTATGTAGGGATATTTCTAAATRGCAAAATTAAAAAACTAATTTAAATTTCCCAAAGGTTTAGACTTTTGTAAAAAATTTTTGAAATCTTCTTTAGAAATTGAAAATATACTTTATAAAAAGCTTCTTTTGAAACTCGAAGCTCAATAAGAAATAACAAATCAAGAGTATATAGGGTTGGTGCTTTAAAAAGCTTACCATGTAAAGCTTTTAATACCAAAATCGAAACTTTTTATAAAACCTTTAATCTTAAATGCTTGTGCTTCAAATATGAACTTAAAAAGTACAATTCCACAGTATGTAATTCCAAATATAAATATTGCAAACACCTTAAAGCATCTCAATACCGTTAAATAAGCTTAAAACTACGTTTAATCTTTATAGCTTGGCTATATAGCTTCTTATATATTTTTTGATAATTTTTTTCACTTCTTTTTTCAAATTAAAATGTTTTTTTGAATCAAAATATATTTGCTAAATTTTATTAAACAACACAATCTTCAATTCAGTGTCCTTAGAGTGTGTATTCAAACGCTTTATTTGTTCCCTCACAAAAACAAAAATTGAAAATTGCAATGGATTGATTTTATTTGCAAACCACAACTAATATGTGCTTTCTGCCAATGATATTCCTCTATTTGTCGCATACCAAACACACCCAAAAAATTTTTTTGAGAACTTTTCATTTTTCWTTTTCGATGTTTAATGTGTGTTGTAAGAATATTTGTATTGTGTTAGGTGTAAAATATTTTTGTAAATTTTA